AATTTTTGTTGGTGAAACTCGTCGCTGTGTGGCGTCTATTTTTTCGGCTGGATATTTTATTTCGGCGGCCGGCTGGTATTTTTTGGTAAAACTGGCCTCTGACCTTAGGTCACAGATATCAAAAATCCGAGATATACATTTTATACATACTGTTACTCATATCAATCGCTGAAAGTTTCAAAGTGATCGTTCAGTCGGTGTAGCTATAGCGAGCCTTTGAACTTTTTCTGAGGTAAGGTCACTTGACGTGACCTGGTGACCTGACCTTGAACGGCCTAGGTCTGAAATTTTCACAACATGTGCGGAAATGATGTAGGAACACGTGTACCAAAAACGGCGGCGCTGCGCGCCGCCGTTTTTGAGATATTCGCGAAAAACCTGAGGGGGGGGCGTAAAAACGCCCCCCCCAGCACGGCGCGGGTTAACCAAAAACAAATGTCCTACTTTATCAGTTATCGTGCTGCTCTCGCATCCACATAGGGGAGAGTGGGGTAAGATGCCCAGGGTGGGAAAGACGCCCCACCCCCTCTAGCGGCGAAACAAAGAATTGAACCCGGAAATTAATGTTCTTAGCGTAAAGCGGAAGCCTGCCTTGTTAACTGCACAAAAATTTGCGAAGCTCAGTTGGGCAACGGCTGGCTGGTGAATGCATGTTTTTTATTTGCTGCTTTCGAAAAATATTTTGGTGTTAAAACATTGTAAATATCAAAGAAGGTAGATAATTTTTGCGTCCCTTGATATAGTCGTGATACATTAACATGCGTGTACTGTGTCCCAAACAGTTTGTTTCAGGGTGTAGTTTTATGGCTAACATATTGTACTGATTTAATGTTACTTCGGTACCTTGGGGTAAGATGCCCCCTGTCCTGATGGGGAAAGACGCCCCCCTAAATCCGTAGGCTGTCCTTCAAGCAGCCCGTCAAATCATTTATTACATGCTTGTGATGAGAGACAAAAGCCGATCTGGGACTATTGAGAGTTCAGTACGGTCGGGTGCTCCCCATGCCGGTCTCTCGGCCCACACAGCGACTTTTTGGGCGGCATCCGACTCTGAGAGCCCTCACGACGGCCTCGGTGGGCCCCATTATTGGCTCCAGGGCCCCTCACGATATCCTTTGAGGGCTCCCACGTTGGCTCCACGGGCCGCGCTGGCATCTGCGGTCCCCACGATGGGCTCGAGGGCCCTCAAGCATCATGAAGACCTATAAGGGCCCCACAGTGGTCTCCGAACGCCACCACGGAAGCTTGTTTGGCCGCGCTGGACTATGATGACCCTAACGATGACCTCTGAAGCACCTTACGACCACTTTTGAGGGCCCTTACGATGACGTTTGGTGTCTACTGCAGGCTCGAAGGGACTACTGATTCGTTCAGGCGATTCACGTGCCCATTTATGTCACTTATAGTGCAGGGGGCATCTTCCCCAACGCCAGGGGGCGTCTTCCCCACCCTGTGGGGTAAGATGCCCCCTTTGACTTCTTCAGGAAAATGCTTTATAGCAAAAAAAGTTATCATATTTCAGGCACGAAAGTGTGATGTTTTTGGAGAAAAATGATGTCGACTTCCGTTGAAACTCCAAGTTTTTGCTTTCCGATCGTCATTTTCGAATAATATATGACATAGTAAAACCCTGGGCATCTTTCCCCACTCCCCTACTTTTAGAGTCACAGTCAAGCAGCTTTTCGTATAATTTTGTAAATATGTACTTTTAATTTAGCCTGAAGATGTTCTATTATGAACGAAACGTCGCATACTCATCAATACAGTGGGACCTATTTTGGAACTATCGTGTCTGAATACCCAAGAGAATACAAGAAAATAGTCCGAGAACTCGAAAACACGGCGAAGAAAGTGTTAAACGCTCGATACGCAATATATATACGCCGAAAAAACAAGACGGGGGTCAAACACCCCCCCCCCCCCCGACCCAGCGAGGGCTAAATGTTCAAATATATGTTACTGAACAATATGTTAAAGGAAGGGTGCCACCTTCCGAAATTTTTGTTCTATGAATCTATTTTACTTATTTGAATTTTTAGACGTGGTTAGCGCGTCCACAATATACAAAAAACCGAAACATTGCATTTAATACATTGGCCAAAAAAAAAAGATCGTTGTTTATATCACCACTACAACTCAAGGTCGTTTGATGTGGCAGCTAGGACGGCTGGCATATCCTGTTGTCATGGCAACATATCATTCTGCCATTTGCATTGATGGCGCAACTGAGACAAAAAGATGAACAAATAAAAAGGAAGAAGATAACATGATTTGAACTAAGTTGTAGGTAACCAAGTAGGTAACTGTTGGCCATATTTGCCAACAGTTAAAGAACATCAAATAAGTCGAGTAAAGGTTTTTCCTTTACAATGCTTAAGAGATCTATGGAACCCTTCACCCTTCATGCAACTTACTAGAAAAACTTCCCAATTAAAATTTTAAAACTTAAGTGTATACCATAAAGAAAAAATATACCCTTTCAAAATGATAAAACATGCTTCAAAAGTATAACTTTTATCCATACCTTTGCTGATTTCATGTTTTATAAAATACCCTTAACACGACGAGGAAATAGTGCTGAAGATTTTTGCCTGCCCGAATGCTGGCAGCAAAACTCGCAAATGATAACTTCACGTGCGGATTCAATGCTGACCGTCTCGAGCATAGGTAAGTGAAGCCGGTTTTTAGGTTCATGTGAGGCTAATCTTGTAAAAACTGCGTTGTGTCCAAAAGGTGGCACCCTTCCTTTAAAGTTTCTTTCGGGAACCATTGACCAAAACCAGAGGCAATCCGCCTCACCTTCAAGCGCAAGGATTAGATCGCAAACCGAAATGTCAGTTCAACAGACCAAAACCATGTAGTTTGGTAAATATACATCAAGCCTACATACATACCTACATTAGATCAGCTTCAACTGAACGGACCACCCGTTCCGTCGTTTCCATCCTCAGGACAGTCAAATCCTTCTCCTCCACGCCTCAAACCCCCTGCTCCGGGCTGGACGGGCAACTATAACCCATACGGGAATGGCTCCACTGGAGCTAGCCCGTAGCCGGGTGCAGTGAGTGCCAGTGGGTTACGCGGCCTGTCCAACCGGACGGGCTCAGCCCAGGTGACTCACTGGGGTGCCTGTCCAGACCAATGCCCTAATCCCTATCATCCTTCCGGCTCTGAAATGGTCTTATAGGACAGAAAGGGCCGACCCAACAAAACAAACAAAAATGAACGGACCGGACAAGAGCATAGTCAAGAGTGTCGGTAGGAAAGTAAATTTATCTCCAGGATCCTTTCGATGGACGCCATAGCCCTCGGAGCCGCCAACGATGAACTGACCTGAAGATGACGGTCCGGCCGGAGAGGAAGTCACAGACTGCCCAGACGTCTCCGAGTGGACGGTCAGTTCCCGGGCCGAGTCGTCTCCGTAGTACACCAGCAGCTCAGAGCCCCGCGGAACGGGCTTTGACGTCCTGCATAGGGAGATCAATATATCACAATTGGTCATGACATGACCTTTATCCAGTCAATACAGCAATGGTCATCAATAACTTAGATGAATCTATGAGAAAATTTGCAGGTACCATAAGGCAAACTGCACACAAAATATAACACGCAGTTTGATAGGACAGATCCGTGGATTTCAAGACAACAACACACCTGAAGTATATCTGACCCCGGTACTGGAAGGCCACTAGGTTTTGTTCTTCCTCCGAGCGGGCACAGTTGACCCTTCTGAGCCAATTGCTGCAGCTCGGGTCTTCGGCATTCACCGAGTGATGCACCCGGTCACCCTTCTTGATCTGAGGTACCAAACAAAAACATAGTCCATCAATTCAAGGAACCAAACAAAAATATCACATCAATCCTGGGACCAAAACAAAAATATCACGTATGCAATGAAAACATTGTCAATTTTCTATGTTTCTAACATTAGTTTGAAATGTGTTCTAAAAGTTTGTAATCGTCTAAATGACTCCATAGTAAGAGATGCGACATGTGACAGTGTAAAAGCAATGGGGGCCGACGCTATATTCTTATACATATATGAACCAGCAAAAATATGTATTCGCAAGAAGAGCAGAGGAGATTCGACAGAAATGACAAAACTGACCTGCCATCTGTACCCGGTGGTTCGAGCCTGACCCTGTTCGGTGGTCAAGATACCCTCGTAAGGACCGAGTCTTTGGCGCGCAGGAAGGTCCTTTTCTGCCAAAACTCCTGGAATCAAATAAACGCATAACTTGAAATCACCTAAATAGAAACACATGACTGTACTGATACACGGGACACCAAATTATGCAATACAAGCACCATTACCAAATGATACAGCAGTTGCTAAACGCATCGCCATTTGTCTTGCCTCATTAACTTACCGGTGCCAGACGCTGGATTTCTCGACTGACCAGAGCTGAGAGAAGGCGGCAGGGTCTTGACGTCCCTGTCGGCATCTCCGATACCGGGTCGTGCCTGGAATAGTAATGTACCTATTAGTGATGTCAATTACGGATAATCGGAATACCGATACCAAACCAAATACCAACCAAAACCACGGGAAAATACCGAAACCAAACCAACTTGGGAAACTGAGGGAAATACCAACTTTTTACCGATTTCTTAGCCTCTTATACATTAGTGAGGGCTTATGATACCAACAAAATACCAAACACATTACGGTTGAAATACCAAATACCAAGATGGTATCGGTTTGGTATCGGTATACCAAAAAGTTCGTATCCGATTGACATCTCTAGTACCTATGTAGGGCGCAATGTCGACAGAGGATGATAATGCAGGAATTGAGCTTATCCTTATACTGTACCTATAGAAATCAGCCGGCATGTTTTCGGAACAAAGATCATAGAACTGTTGAACTGGTCGCATCCATGTCAGTATCGACAAAATTGCAGCACAGGCAATAACTGTCAAGAAAGTTTTGTATATATAAAAATCGACAACTTCCACATGCACCTATTGTCATTTTGCAATTTAGCACCAAATCGAACAGATTCAAAATTAAATGTTGAAATATGGGGGGCACCTACTGATGTAACTAAAACAGAACAACACAAAACATGAACAGAGATAATAGGTATGGACTTATGGAGGATAGTCCCTTACCTTGGTATCGTGTATGATCTTTAGCGGTCCATGGACGGGACATTCACCGTCCCAATCGCGGCAGCACACGTCACAAACTGTCAGAAAATAGGGCGGAAAAGTATTATTGACATGATGGAGGATACAGTACGGTTTTATCATTTACGTTTCTGTTACACCGAAACAGTACGTGTTTGGTGGTTCTTATTTGTCTGCAATTTTGTGAGCTCTTATCATGTAAATTCCTCCGTTGATGAGGAAAAGTTGTAATTGACTAAAAGGAGGAGAATACTCACATAGGTTACCACATCGAGACCATCCACATCACGGTAGTTTATGACGAGACGGGACTCTTCATGAACTCTCCTTCGGCAAAGACTGCAATGAAATACAATGAATGGTTTTGTATGATTGGGTGGCATTAATCTCAGGCGCCAATTCAAAAGAACGTATGACTGTCAGACCACTACATCACTTTGTAGAGTCTAAATCAAATAAAATTAAAAAACTGACAATTTGTCTGCAAAAGGTACAATACAAAGGTCGATGATAAAATAGAGAGACGAAATGCATTTCCTGACATCTGTCAACTTACCTTCTGCCGAGTCTTCACTGTCCGACGGGCATCCCAGTAGCATATCCCTTTTTACATTGGACATGAAACAAGCACTGAAAAAAGAAGCACCACAAATATATATCATTTCATCAAATGGATAGTCTAGAATGTCAAATAACTACTCAAATTTCAGCAACACTGAGTCATGCCCTCACCTGTCTCGATCCACCTCAGTGAACCCCAAGAAGTCCTCAGACGGTGACGGCGATCTAGGTCGGAACTTTTCCTCCTTCACCAGAGACTGCAGAGCTTTGTCCGACAAAGGATCGTCGTCCGACACCGAGGGAGACGACGGCCGCTCAACCTAGACCGGATCAAGAGACCAACATTATTCAATTAAACATTAGATGCTCTTCAACCACAAAAATGAAATTGGAACACATTTTGCGCTGCCATTCCCTTTTATCAACCTTGCAGTAAAAACAAAAAACAAAAACAAAAACAATGAGAGGTGATCACCATGCATTTATAAACTTACCCTTGGTGAAGTGACTTCAATCTTTATCTCCTCCTTCACAACTGGCCGAAAGTCGCTCTCAGAGCCACTGTCTATGGGAGTGGAATCACTTTCCCTCTGGGAGTGCCTCAGACTCTGTGAAGGACCCCATTCCTCGTCGCTGTCAGGAGAGCCCTTCCGAGACCACTTTGGTCCTTCTGGTGACGTTGATGCAGCCCGCATGAGCGGCAGTAATTCAGACACTGGTGGATCTGGAATGGGGTCCAACGTTGATTGTCAGTTCACATTGAGTTGACTAGATAAAAGCACAAAAGGGAGAAGTTATGTAGCAAGAAAATGCAAAGTTGCAGAGTTATCACCACCAATAATTGAATAATTCCTTATGTAATTGATGATCCATAAAATATCTCTGAATAATACCACTGGCATGGTTTGGTTTGTCAACAAGAATACCTACACGACGTAAATAATGTAGGTGCTCATTACGAGCGAGCGAGCGCAGCGAGCGAAGCGAAGTCTTTTCAATATAGGTAACGGAAAAATCTCAGTATGAGCGGCCCGGCCCGGCCCGGCCTGTAACGCTTCTGAGAGGCTTATATCTCAGCAACCGCTGGACCGAATGGCCTGCGGTCTTTTTTGCTGGGTAGCCCCATCCCTTCTACCCCGTAATTGACTACTTTTGATACATACATTGACTGATACATTTTGATACATTGACTACTTCTGCTAAACTGCACATTTGCTTCGAAATTTTCCGACCCCACCGTCGCCGTATTCCCCAACGTTCCTTCTTGTGTTGACCACCGTCTGTCGGAATTCAATGTGTCGGAGGAGGCTGTGCGTGGTTTACTCCGGGAGCTCTCCGTCAGCAAGGCGTGTGGTCCTGACGGATTGAGCGCCCGCATTCTCCGTGAGTGTGCAAATGAATTGGCCGCCCCTCTGTGTAAACTTTTACGCATATCCCTTTCATCCGGTATCTTTCCTGAAAAGTGGTCTGAAGCCAACATAGTTCCCATTTTCAAAAAAGGATCGCGGAACGATCCAGCTAACTACCGTTCTGTATCGCTTCTTCCCCTATGTGCAAAGGTCTTTGAAAAGATTGTAAGCGAGCAACTCTTCCAACATGTCCAGCCTCACCTTTCTCCGTTCCAACACGGATTCGTCCCAAACCGGTCATGCGCCACGAACCTCGCGTCCTTCCTGTCGCACGGATGGGCGGCCATCTCAAACAAATCCCAGCTGGATACCGCGTACACAGATTTTAGCAGCGCATTTCAGAGTGTCAATCATTGTTTGCTACTGCATAAGCTCGAAAGGATGTACGGCGTTGACGGCAACGCTCTGCAGTGGTTGAGGTCCTACTTGGAGAGGCGCAAACAACGCGTTGTGTTGAACGGGAAAGTGTCCGAGTGGGTTCCGGTTGTGTCTGGAACACCGGAAGGGGGTCACATCTCTCCGTTGCTGTTCTCTCTCTATGTGAATGACCTGCCAACTGTTATTTCCGCCAGCTGTTTGCTGTTTGCTGACGATCTGAAGTTGTTTCACGAGGTTAGGTCCGATGATGATGTTCAGACGCTCCAGCGACACGCTGGGACTTGAACGCAGTGACACGCTGGGCGGCCGACTGGAAATTGAAGCTAAATGCAGCTCCAAATGCAAGTCATTTAAAATCACACTTAAACGTAGCCCCATTGACTCGACATATTCGATCAATGGCACTATTTTGGAAAATGTCACATCGATCCGAAATTTAGGCATCATTCTTGATCAAAAGCTAGATTTCGCCGATCACGTGCATTCAGTGGTCACACGGGCTAATAGAGCGCTCGGGCTCCTCATTCGAACGTTCCAGTCGGCTTCCCCCAAGTGTAAGCTGGACAGGCAGGCCGTGTTGGCGGCTTATTACGCCAATGTTCGATCTGTGGTCGAGTACTGTTCAGTGATATGGGGCGGAGTGGCCAAATCTCATCTCGTTCGTGTGGAGAGGGTGCAACACAAGTTTTTGATGTGGCTGGCTTGTCGCACCACGAAATTCGTCGCTCAAGTACTCGGACCTATTGTCATCATTTCGTGTGCCACACTTAGGAGCACGACGCGCAAAGTGTGATGTTCTGTTTTTATGCAAGGTGTTTAAAGGCTTCATCTCATCATCATATTTAATTGGGTCTTTTAAGCTCCATATATCCGCGAGGCCAACCAGAAACACACCATTCATTGATGTGCCGTTCGCCAGGGTGAACACCATATCAGGAGGGCTTATTGTGCGCATTCCTCGCTGCGTCAATCAGTTTCTTGAGTTCTCGCCTAGGTCAGATATTTTCTTTGACTCGATCGGGCGGCTCAAGCGAGAGGCATCGGCGTATGCGTCAACACTGGCGTGCGTTATGTGACAGTCGGCCTCTGTCGGATGCAAAGAAGTGGTTTGTGTGGGGGTGGGGGGGGGGGGTATTTATGCATGTTGATGCATGCGTGTGCGTATGACTTCACCTGTCATTGGGCGTAAGCCTGTTGGTGATTTATGAAAATACAAGAATACAAGAATACATCTCAGTGACCGCCGTGGCACGTGCCACGTGAAAAGTCAAGGGTGTTCAAGCATTTTGCAAAAGCAATGATTTTGAGAGGCCCATATCTCAGCAGCAGCTTGAGCGATTGTCTTGCGGTCATTTTTATAGGGTAGCTGCATCCCTTCTACCAAAGGTCGGATACTTTTCATCTATGTGAGTGACCCCCACTGCACGTGCAAAATACAACAATAAGAGGTGCCAAATTTGTTCCCATTTCAGTAACTCGGTAATTACTGGGGCGATTTCGCTGAAACTTGGCATACAGGTAGGCACCCACCAGGCAATGCATTCCCAATGTGTTGCGGTTAGGGTGCTACTGCACATGCGCACGTGCAGGGGGCGTTTCCAGATCTCGAGAGCGGCTGGACCGATGGCGATCAAATTTGGTACACGGTTAGGGACCGGTTAGTAGGGTGCCGTGCAAGTCAGTCGGGACCCATTTTGCACGTGCGCACGTGCAGGGTGTCGCTTCCAGATCTCGAGAACGGCTGGGCCGATTGCGCTCAAATTTGGCACATCGCTAGAGACCGGTTAGTAGGGTGCCGTGCACAAGTCAGTTGGAGGTACCTCCTCGCAATTTCGCACGTGCAAGGCCCACCCTCTCGCTCGCTCCGTTAGTCGCCCCAAAAGGCGTTATACTGGTTCTAAAAGATCTCATAGCGAGCAATCCATTGTTTTCCCCGCGTCTTTTTAGCTTTCTTACTTGCTGAGATTAACCGGTGTAGCAAAGTATAAAAATCCTGTGCATAAAAATCCCCCGCCAGAGGGGCCCCTGCCCATCAAGGGTCGCCTACCAGAGGGGCCTCCTGAATCCTGTCCAGAAAGGGCCTCCTGTGCAGAGGGAGCCTCGGGGGTCTCCTGCCCACGAAGGATCTGCTGTCAGAGGGGGCCTCTCGATTCCTGCCCAGGTAGGGCCTCCTGGGAGAAGGTACCTCACATCCAGGAGGGGCCTCCTGCTCATCAAGGGTCGTCTACCAGAGGCCTCCCCCACATGGCGTAACCCCCCCCCCCCTAAGGTTTTTCGCGAATAACTCGCGTAAAAAGCGGCCGATCGCGACGAAACTTTCAGTACCCTCGCATGGATCAATTTCACACCTACCCTGAAAATTTCATGACCCTGACCCAAATGACCTTTGACCTGTGACCTCTTTTCCGAGACCATGTTTGGCCAGAATCGCGATTCGGCGTATGTCGGCTCGCATTAGCCGCGCGTTTGCTAGCTTTTCGTGGTTTCCAACGTTCAAACATGTGATTTGATGTTGCTCCCATGCATTAGGGTGGATGTCAAGGTCACCTGAAGATCAGGTCAGGTAATTGACCTTTGGTGACCTCGGGTGACCTCGGTTCACTTTTTCGAGTTTTACATGTTTCTAGGCCAGTTTTTTTTAGCTGAATTCGAATTTAGCAACCATTTGAACATTAACGAAGTAGTTTTGGTGCCTTCGTAACATGTTACGAAGCTGTCAGAGGTGGTTGACACGTATTACGAATACCCGTCACAACCCCTACCGGTTGACCTGACCTGACCTGACCCGACCTGGTCTAAATGCTTAAAGACATCAACTCTGATCAAAACTAACACGATATTCGTGATCAGCACCCCGGAAAACCACATAGCAGCCACACTTTACGACTTTATAACAGGTCCCGATGTTCCCGGTTTTCGGGTCATTGACCTGACCTGGAAGGTCACCCGATGACCTAGGACCTTAAAATTGGGTATCATCGGCTTCGTCTCGTGACGGGCAGCACGCTCGTTTTTTCCGCGAAGCTCTAGCTCGATCAGGGGCCAAACGCGAGGGGGGTCGTACCAACCCCCCCCCCCCCCTTGTGCCGTCGAAGGACGCAAAATGGCCTGTGCCGGCGAGGGTTAAGGTGTGGAATACGTGGCCCAAATCACTTGCTGTCTGTTACTCCCAGCCATTTGGGCTACAGAGGTCAACAAAGGTAACGACCCCAAATTTGCGCAGCAGACTGTGGCCCACCCAGTGGAGGTAGAGGACTGAAACTGGCACCGATCGACTCGCCAGAACCTGATACTAGTTTTACTTCCCACAATCGACTTTACCTCTAAAGGTAAAGAAAAGTTTTTACTTAGGATCATTCTCGCTTCCAGGTTCAGAAAATATTTTCACAGCAGTTCTTGAGCAGGAGGAATTTTTATGGGAAGCATATCATTCTAACATCAACCTATTTTGAAGCCAACCCTCTTATCCAGATAGGGTCTCCTGCCCAGAGACGGTGTCCTGTAGATGAAACGTCCCATTTACATGTAGAGGGCCTCCTGCCAATGAGGCCCCCTGGCTCATCCCAAGATAGAGCCTCTGTGCAGAGGGAGTCTCCCATTTAGAAGGGGCTTCCAGTCCTGTGTATTAACGATCTCTTGCCGAAGGGGGCCTCCTGGCTCCTACCCGCATAGAATCTCTCGTGCAGAGGTAGCCTCCCACCAAGAAAGGGTCCTGTACAGAGGAAGCCTCGGGGTATCCTGCCCATAAAGGAGCTCCTGCCAAATGGGGCCTCCCACCTCCTGCCCAGATAGGGCCCTCTGTGCAAAAGGGAGCGTCCCATCCAGAAGGGGCCTCCTAAGCATTAAAGGTACTCTGCCAGAGGGGACTCCTGCCCATCAAGGGTCGCCTACCAGAGGGGGCCTCCTGAATCCTGTCCAGAAAGGGCCTCCTGTGCAG